CTCCTCTACATCTCTTTCTCTGCCACCAGTGTCCAGTTATATTGCACGTGTGAGGCAGACCGAGGTACCCTCACCTGTAGAGGTCAGTTGAAGGATAGCGTGCTGCAGTTCAGGGCCTCGGATTGCAAACTCTTGAAGGAACCTGCTATGTATTTGTATAGTGCCTAACGTGGTGAAGCCTCTGCAAAGTTTGCAGAAGTCTATAGGCATTACTTTATTTAAAGCTGTCAGTTGTGGTTGTTTTTTTTTTTTTTTTGTGATTGATTGCCAGTATTGCAATATGTGTTACTTTGAGTCATTTGAATATATTAATGCATGCTAAAACTTCAGCTGTTTGCAGTAAAGCTTAGATGTTTGCTGTGTGTCATGTTATCTCAAAACCTACCGAATTTTGCTCTCATTAAAGCGATACGTGTTATGACTCCATGGTGTGATTTACGAAGTTTACAAACGTAAAGAATCTTTCGACCTGTAAATGTGGTAAATGAGCTGGGAGTTTGACAGTGAATGGTGGATGTTGTGGTTCATGCATAACCAGCAGTAAAAGTTGTGTGACTGAAGTACAGGCTAGAACCAGTTTGGTTTGTTCCTGTGTTTGTGGGTTCAGCAAGAATAAAAGTCAGTAAAGATCAGTTTTATTTCTCTCGCTAGTAACTGCTATCCAGGGTGGTGCCTCTGACTTTGTCAGTCTACAGCATGAGCTTACCTGGGTGTAAGAGGAGCTGCGAGAATGTGTCTTTTTTTACTTCAAAAGACAGCATTTGAAGTAAATCTGTACGCTTCATGGTAATAAGTGGGGGTACTCAAAACTGGACTGGGTAATACCTTGAGCAGCCTGCTCTAACTAGGCCCACTCTGACCAGGCGGCTGGGCTGGAGGCCACTGGAATCGCTTCCAGCCTGTGTTATTCCGTGTTTCCAAAAGGTGAGCGTGCTGGCTGCATGTTATAGAAGCAACTGATTCAATCCATTCACCTGTGGTAGTTGCTAAATTTGAGTTTAAACTACAGTTATCTTAAAAATCCTTTATGTTTTCTCTAAAAAATTGAGTTAGTATTTCAGTATTTTTAATTATTAATATCAAGACAGGGGATGCAGAATTTCTTCTTGCTAGGAAGTATATCAATGTGTTGCTGAAACAGCCTTTATTTTGTGATTGACTTGTTTGGCATTAGTAATCTAGCTCATTAATTTGGAAATAGGAACATAGTTCAACTTGGTTTGCTCACTGTCACCCACCTTTCTTACACGGAGGAATTGTTACTAAACAGTCTAGATATGGAAGCAGTAATTCTTGCCACCAACTTCCCTTTTTCCATTTTGTAAAGCTTGTAAACTGAAAATGTAGATGCCTGATTTAGGAAACCAAAGGAACCAATGACCATGGGAGTTAAAGGGGGGGGGTATTTATCTTTCTAGTCATAAATACAGGCAAATAGTAATCCTGTGTCAGATGCGGGTTTGTTAACAGCAGTTGGTAAAATTTTAACATGTGACGCAGGAATGTGGGATATATCTGTTTTCTGAACCGTCTACATCGAATAATTAGTGATTTACTGACTGTAGCAAGTATGTGATGTAGCATGTGCATTTAACGCTTTTTAAAATCTATATTTAACCTTTTCTGATAAGCAGGCTTGGATAACTTGTGCTCTGGAATATTAAAAGGACTTCAGCAAAGAGCTGAAGGATTGCAGTGTAATTCCACTCTCTGAAAAGAAGAAAGAAAATTGAGGAGTTTTACGCTAGTTTGGGATTTTCCTGCTACACATACTAGATCTGTCTTTTCACTAAGTCTATCATAGAGGCATTTTTAATACCTCTCCCCCTACTGCCTGGCAGGCATAGCAGTAGAGAACCATTGGAGAACAACTGGAGTTTTACTCTGGTTTTTGAACTGGTTTTAAGGATACCGGAATGAAATTTAATGGAAGGAAGCATACAGAAAATGAAACCATGTACCTAACAGCTCCTTCTGACTATGTACTGTCCAAAGTTACAAAATGTTATTTAACAGAACTGTTTAGCTGACTCTAATACAATGTGCTTAGGTTTTTAAAGTTATTTGTCCAATATCTCCAGTAACTATTCTTCATAAAGCAATCTGTCTAAACAGTGATGCCTTAAGGCTTATCTGAGGGTTTTTTTCAGGTGAACATCTAGATCTATGTTGGACTGTACAGACTTGGTGTAATAGAATGTGCACAGACTTTTTAAAGTTATTTAAACTTGAAAAAAATCCCCAATAACCCTTGATTATAAGGGGGTTTTAAAGCTATTTAAGTCAGGAAGTACAGCTGATAATGGTGTTAAACAGATTAAATCACCATTTGAGGGAGTGATGGTAGAATAAGAGACAAAGTTGTAGACAAGCATAGTATTGATGTAAAAAAATTGAAACACTTGTTTCCGCTAAACCTCTTATGTACCCATTGTTCATCAGCTTTTGCTTTTTAGGTCCATGGATCTGAAGTAGAATGGGGTCCTTGTAGTGAAGTGGTAGTGAAGAAAAAAATGGCTGAGAAGTTGTCAAGTTCTAGCTTTAGAAAAGGGAAAGTTTTCTTGTTTACTTACAGGCATACTCTGTTGGAAACACTGCAAGGTGGTTTCCTCAGTATGAAATTGGATGATTTCAGCATAGTTTGATGTAACTGGCTAAGGAAATTTGTTTATTTTTGTAATAGATAAGCTGCAGACTGAAAATGTCTGGCTCAGATTGAAGATGATAGAAGATGCTGATATTGAGACAGAGTAAAGAAACTAGCTATTTTTCATGACATTTGCTTCCACTAGGGGATTTCTGGGTCCCCCATTCAAGATGTTGATATAGTATGTTAAGTCAATTTAAAAACTAGTTATCTGAAGCTTGTGAATAAATATGAAATCATCAAGCAATACAGAAGAAGTCTTAATGAATCAATGATTTACAACAAAATACTGTACAAATATTTGCAGGTGGAATTTATAGATAATGATAAAAACTGTCCAGGCAACTAGATAAACTGCAGGGTGTTTGGTTTTGGTTTATTCTCAGCAGTGGTTTGTGCCCTACCTTGGAGGCTGGTCACAAGGAGTTCCGCCTGGCTCTATTCTGGGACCTGTCCTGCTTAATATCTTTGTCACTGATCTGGAGTTGGTGTGTACCAAATCTGGGGAGCAGTCAGTATGCCCAAGGGCAGGGCTGCATTTCGGAGAGATCTAAACAGGACAGAGCAATGAACTGACAGGACCATCATGAAATCCAAAAAGGACGAATGGGAAGTCCTTCATATGGGACAGAATAACCACTTGCAGGGAATACAAGCTGGAGATGCTATGCACGAGTCAGCAACATACCCTGTCAGCATATAGGAGTGTAGCCACTAGACTGAACAAAGTGATTATTCCTGTTTACTCAGCACTTAATAGACCACACCTAAACCATTGCATCCAGTTTTGCTCTCTACCATCCCACTGGAAGGCCACAAAGACGGTCGGTGGGCACATGACCCATGAAGGGAAGCTGAGGGATCCAAAGCTGCATGGGGATGAGGCTTTGGAGGGACCTTGTGGCAGCTGGCCAATATCAAAATAGAGGTTATGAAGAAAAACAGAGATGCATGGCAGGAGCTTGAGAGACCACAGTCATAAACTGAAATGGCGGAAGTTTGTTGTGTACCAGGAGGTGCTGGTCTGTGCTGATCCAAGTAAGAAAGGCACTTGGACACTGTAAAATATCGTTGAAAATGCTATTTATGAAAGTTAATACTATAGAGAGAATAGTATAGATGATTTTATATCTGTTTTGATGCTGAGAACCCCGAGTTGTGAAGCCTCAAACAGGCGTCCAGTCCGTGTGCAATATACCGTGCAGACCCTGTCCATAGAAAGGGTTACCCCATGCTGCTCCTTCAAGCTATTGTTGGATTTCCTTACATGAAAACAACTACTGGTAATTTCTACTATCAAGCAGGAAGGGTGCTCACATGAGAACTTCTAGCTGCACTTCTAGATAAAGGCAAGGCCATGCAGGTGGCATAATTGCTGATACCAAGTGGGAGCTGTCTGCTTGGCTCCTCCGTTACAGCCAGCTGGCTGAGCTCGTCCTGCAGCCAGGGGGTATGTGCAGCACAGCACGGGCATGGACATGCTCAGGTTGGCTCTTGCATGGATCACTGACTCCTCGAGGTATTATGGTCTTCTGATCAGGATCACCACAATGTTCTGGCTTGACATGATGAGATCATATTTTACCACGAAGACAGTCAGGTATTGAAACGGATTCCCTAGAGAGGTTGTGGAATCTCTGACCTTGGAGGTTTTCAAGGCTCAGCTGAACAAAAGCCTAAGCAATGTTGTCCAAATCAGCATTCACCGTGCTTCAGCAGAAGGTTGAGCTAGGTGACATCTAAAGGTCCATTCCACCCTGAATTGCTGTGTCTCTGAGTTTTGGGGCTTGCTCCTGAACTTAAAAACTTGGTTGGAAGTTGTGATAACTTTATTGCAACTGATGGGAATATCTGTAAGACAGGAGAATTCTGGGTTTCCATGTAACTTCACAGTGAAATCAGTGCTATGGTAGTAGTAATTTAGAAATAATTTAGATAGAAGCGTAGTTGTAATTGGATCCAGGAAGTTTCACGTGTCGTTGCATCACTGAAGAAATCTGGTCATAGAATAAAAAAACAAGACCCTGTTAGCCATTCCTTGTTTCTGTAGTCATGCATTGCATAGGCTTTATTTGCCCCCTAGTTTTCATTCCTTCTCTTGAAAAATTTGTTTTGTCAGGAGCATTTGTATCCCATCTTTCATGCAAAGGATAATATAGCTATTAGTTTCTGCCTTTGCTAGCTGCTGGTAATATGACAATAAATTAGATTGTGGTTGACATGTTAATATACAAGATGTATTAAAGTAATAGTTAGCAATCTGTGCAACTCTCATAGCTGAGGAAATACTGAGATACCTGGATATTGAATGTTGCCAAATTTGGCTGTTCCTTTCTTGCAGCAGGAGACATGGAATACTTGGTCCTTACTGGAAACCATTTCCTTCTCATATGTTTGCTTTGGTGTTCTGGACCTGTGTGTAACTTCAGTCTTGTGGAGCCAGCAATGGGCAGTGGAGAGGTACCAGAAATGACCATTATCTAGTGACACCCTTGCCCCCAGCCATCCTACTTAATGTAGGATGCTACCACATTCATACTACTTAATTCAGTGGTACATGCTACTTAATTCAGTGGTAGAAAGCACTGAGACTACTCTTGCCCTCTAAGTTGTTGCTTGTAAATATAAGAAGATAAGGAAGGTATATGTGGGGGGGAACTTTCATATTATGATACAGCTGCTTTCATATTATCATATACGTCATCAGTTGCCTCTCATGTAGCTTAACTAAGTCATGATCTGTCCAAATAGCTTTGGCTAAACTGTGTCTTTCAAAATAATGAAAAGATGAATCAATCCCTTGGTTTTGGGGAAACCTTATTATATCTGATGCTAAACGAGAGATCGTTTTCATTGCCAGAGACTGAATGTTCACAGGTGAAGTTACTCTGCCAATTAGTACTACTGAGTACCATTACCTGATGGAGAAAGGACTGAAACAAACTTCCAGTCCGTAAGGGAAAATTTGATCAGAGTTCCAGTACTTGGTGAGTCCCATGAATTATTCTTCCTTTGATTAAATTGAATTTCTCTAGGGAAAAAGACATTAGAGTGAGGAACTCAGAAATTGAATAAAAAAAAATTATTTATTTAGCATTATTGTGCTTTAAAAGTACCTGTATTGGGGAAAAAATTCTAATGCTGAAGAGCCATTTAATCTGTCAAAGGTGTGCGTATTTAGGTTGAGACCCAGTGCTAGGCATGTCAAAGTAGACACAAGAGCTATTTTTGAGTGAAGATAATTGACTGTTATGTTAGTTAAGGGGCAACTTAGTGGTGTGGGATGGTTGGAATCTTTAAAGTAGAATTGGATGTCTCTCCAAAACATATTCTCTAAGTAAGCCTAAAGGTTTGGAATTGGGTGAAATTGTGATCTGCGTTGTGCAGGGTGTCAACCTAGGTCATTGTAACAGTTTCTGAAAGAGTCTGACCAGAAGAGCTTGTTTATTATATTATTCCAAGGTATTTGGGGTAGCTGAATTGAATTTCTGCAGTTAGACATACTTGGGCATTTAATTTCCATGTGCCCACCTTTAATTTCTTTTTAATGTTTTCAGATTTTTTTCCCCCAAACTGGAATACCTCTATTTTGTTTCATTCTTCTTGCTCTGTATTTCATCTTCTTTCAAAACTTGCTGCAGTTGCTCTTTCGTTTCTGGCTTTATCAGATGTTGAGGCCAGCTTTTTTTGCGGCCTGCTTTGCTAAATGGTAAGTAGCATTACTGCCACATCATTAACACCAGGGCTTTAACATTAGCCTTTACCTACCTTTTCTTGACCTTCGATCATTGTATACATGGACTTTGTATGGTAGCTGATTAAGCATTATCTTGCTGCTCTTTTACTTGTCCTCCAGGCTTAATAGCTGTTTCCAGTTGCCACATGAGCACGGAAAGGGTGGAGATGCTGCGCTCCTCCTTCCCAATGATTCTCCTCTCCAGCTGTCATTTAATCTTAATCAAGTTGCAAGTGTTATGCAGCAAAATCTAAATTAACGTGTTGTCTGCGTTCGCTTGTTGTTCTACAAATTCATGCAATACTGCCCTGATTGGGGGGGGGGGGGGGGGGGCAAGGGGGCGGG